CTTTGAATATTGCTCATATATGGTCCGTTATCTGCTATATATTTAGAGATTTTTGATAAAATCCAAAGAGGAATCTGCAATATTTCTCTCCAGAATCTATCTTACATATTTATAAGTCTACCATTCATCCATGCTTTGAATATTGCTGCCATATATTCCGGTACTCCTGCTATATATTTAGATTTTGATAAAATCCAAAGAGGAATCTGCAATATTTTCTCCAGAATCTATCTTACATATTTATAAGTCTACCATTCATCCATGGAATATTGCTGCCATATATGGTCCGGTACTCCTGCTATATATTTAGAGATTTTGATAAAATCCAAAGAGGAATCTGCAATATTTCTCTCCAGAATCTATCTTACATATTTATAAGTCTACCATTCATCCATGCTTTGAATATTGCTGCCATATATGGTCCGGGCTATATATTTAGAGATTTTGATAAAATCCAAAGAGGAATCTGCAATATTTCTCTCCAGAATCTATCTTACATATTTAAAGTCTACCATTCATCCATGCTTTGAATATTGCTTATATGGTCCGGTACTCCTGCTATATATTTAGAGATTTTGATAAAATCCAAAGAGGAATCTGCAATGTTTCTCTCAGAATCTATCTTACATATTTATAAGTCTACCATTCATCCATGCTTTGAATATTGCTGCCACATATGGTCCGGTGCTCCTGCTATATATTTAGAGATTCTTGATAAAATCCAAAGAGGAATCTGCAATGTTTCTCTCCAGAATCTATCTTACATATTTATAAGTCTACCATTCATCCATGCTTTGAATATTGCTGCCATATATGGTCCGGTACTCCTGCTATATATTTAGAGATTTTTGATATAATTCAAAGAATCTGTAATGTTATCAGTCTTTCAGTCACTTTCCCACCACCATAATATAGCTTCCCTGTGCCTTTTGTATAAATTCTTTCATGGTAATTGTTCTGATGACCGTTCATCTATGGTACATATTGGTGACAAGATCTCATCATTTTACAGTTGAAATGGCTGCATATAACTGTAAGTTCTATGCTAACAGTTTCTTCTCTTGCACTTCTTGCTTATGGAACTCTCTTCCAGTTACTTGCTTTCCAGTCAGGTTTGATCTTTAAAAATTTAAATGCAATGTCACTTGTTATCTTCTGTTTGCTTAATTCATGTTCTTGTATTGTTCACTCTCTTTAGGTGTTTTTTTTTCTTCGTGTTCTTTATTGTTCTCACTCCTTAATAATATTTTCTCTTTTTTTATATTCTTTCACGCTCAGTAACTGTCTTAGTGGCTTTATTGCCTTGCTTGGAGTAAAATGATAAAAAAAAAAAAATGAAATTCTAATATTAGAGTGGTAGATTCCATAAACTTGGCATTGCTAGAAAATAAAGGAATAAACTCTTTACAGTTGTGTAGGACTTGATGAAATTTGGAAATTGGTAAGATGTTAAATTTGTAAGAGAAGACAGATACATTTGATTAAAATACATAATTTCTTTACAGATAAATCAGAAATATTTTCAAATTTGCTTTTTCACATTTAGAAATGATTGAAAAGTCTGTCCCCTCTGGAGCCATTTATCTGCCAAGTTAGGTTAGAATATTATTTAAAAACTATACCAAAAATATTAAAAAAAGTTTTCTAACTGTTTATTAATTTAATTTCCCAAGGTTGATGCCAACCAAATTTGATGTCTTCTCAAATTTTTCTCTCCTGGAATTTTCCTTGTTAGACAGTCATAAACTTACGAGTAATAAATCTTGATACACACACACACACACACACACACACACACACAAGTTTTATTTAAATGAGTGAAATACAAGATGTAAGTCCTAAAATAAAAGTTTAATGTATTTTAAAACATTTCTTTATGGGGATAAATTAGCTGCTGATCTAAAAAATGGCTTATATTCTGTTATTAACTAGGGTGAGGAATGGCTTGTTAATTTTAACACTTCCAAAATGAAACTAAAATTATTTGTCGATTATAACTTTGCTTGACAATTCTCACTGACTACAATCCTCCTTTCTGCTTTAACAGAAATATTTTGTGAAGCAGTTAAATATTTTGAGGTATTCTAAAAGCTAAGCAGACTATTAAGAAACATGAAAAATTTGTTAGAAACAAAGAAATGAATACTAAACTCTTACATGATATGTCCCTCCTATATGGCAGTTAATGCTGGACAATTTCTTCAAAGATGAAGAAGACACTTGAACCAACAGAAATGTGGTTTAACAGAAGGATGCTGAGGATACCATGGACCAAACATGAGGGTTTGAAAAATCTGATACTCACAGGGCAGATAGAGAGACAGTGGAAAGCATTATATAACATACTTGATGAGTTTGATTAAATGGATGGTGGAATAGGGTTTAGGAAAATTAACAAAAAGACAGAATTTATTTAGATCTACAATGGACAGGAAATTGTGGAGAGCTATAATTGTCTATGTCCTGTGGGTGCATAGTACATAAAGAAGTGTCAGTCATTTATAAACCTTACAGAATTCTAAGTGATAAATTTATCAAAATTATAAAACATCCATTTCATTTTTTTCTCTTGACAAAAATAAAAATGACAACTTAGAAAATATTAAAAAATTCTATTGCACAAATTATTAAAAGAATATTTACTGTGTTTGATGGTATATCTGGACCCACTTGAATACAAGCAGATGACTATTACAACAGATCTCAACAGTTGAACCAGTGGATGAAGAGGAGGGCTACGCACTGACATGCCACTCAAAATTATAATAGTCAGAAGCAATCTGTTGCAGACTATTTACATTATTCGAACTATTGTCCTCATCTTTGTCGCCATATTTATTACAACATTTCCCCTCTCTAAGTTCTCCACCGCCTTAACCAGGTAGTTAACTCACACTCTTTGGGTCCTGTCACTGGATCTAATAACACCTTTATCCACTGTGCCATGAGTCCTGATAACTGACATCCATTAGACATGGCACGTGGAACTAGAACAGTCTACCCCAGTGAGCGAAATAAAGGGTTTAGTTCAACATTCCAACCACCTGAACAAGGCCAGAGTGTACAACAGCTGAAATGTTGTAATAAATATGGCGACAAAGATGAGGGCAATAGTCTGAATAATGTAAATAGTGTACATAATACCTCATCTCAGAAATATAGACAGCAATCTGTTACAGTTTTATAACTGGATTTTGCATGTCTCATTCCAGGGAAGCTCATGAAATCAAAAGTGTGGGTCACTTCCTGGCAAGTTGAAGTCCACCTTTAACAAATTCACACCATTGGCACTTTATCTTATCCGATTTTGTTTCATCTCCAACCAACTCTTGCAAAGCCAAACAGCAACGGGAAATGGATGATGGGAACAGGTTTTGGTGAAAATGGAAGTTTTTAGTCCTGGATGGTGACAGTGAATTTAGTCATCAATACCATGATCATAAAGTAAGCGATCAGCAAAGGAGAAATTAAATTCTTGGATATGAGATAAGGACCGACAATTATCTGAACCCTCTTTTTATCTAAAAAAAAAAAAAAATGACTCTGGAGGTATCACCTAAGTTTTTAATGTGATGTTGTGGCATCTGGTAAACTAATATTTATCCAGATGCCATAGACTACCAAATAATTGTTTCTAGCCTAATTCCATTATACTGGAATGTTAAGTGTAAATAGCAAGAGGGCTTTATACACCAAGTTGAGGTTTTTAGTAGGATAATCTTTACCCAGATGCCTGGAATTTATACTATAATTGGGTTTCCAGTTTCTTGTACAGTCTTTTTTTTTCTCTTTCTCTTCCAGTACCTATATTTTGGTGGCATTATTGCCTTGCTTGGGATGAATTAAAGAAAAAAAATCTGTTTCTGGCAGATAAATTTAGTAAAATTAGTAAAAGTTCGGGAAGTTCATTGGACTAAGAACTTTTCAAACCCCACCCCTTCATTTTAATTCCAATTAAAAAAGAGCGCCCTGCACATGTCAGCATTAAGGTTTAAAAAAAAAAAGTCTTTAAATAAACCTGATTTTATTAAATGTTGAACTTTTCTGAGTTTTGTGGTCTTTAATTACATGTCATTTTCTGCTAAAGAATTATTTTTTTTATTTTTAATATAACAAAACAAAAAAAAATCTCTGAAGTAAAAAAATTGGACAAAGATATAATATGGAAGTTTTGGGTCTAATAAAAGTTGAATATTAATTTATGTTCAATTTTCTAATCATGTAGTTGAGTTGCTTCTCAGTAAGTTGATGATAAGCAATCTGAAAATTCAGTTTGGAAACTTGGAATCGGCTTATCAAAGTAATTCAGCCGTTTTATTCAGGATAAAAAATGTTAATGAAGTTTTCTTGATGAAGACAAAGTCTATTGTGTGTTCCTATAGTGAAACCAGTCAATTGAGTTCAACTTATTATCACCTTTGATTTCTTCTCCTCTTATGATTTTATTATTAAAGTTTACTTGCTGCTTTGTGAAGGAAATAATTGCAGAGACACATTGATAAGTGGATCGATATTAGAATCAAATTCTCCGTCATGGATGAAATTTATTTCTTTATCATGTTTTGAATGGCAGAATGGTTAAAGTTAGCATTCTTAACATGAGATCCAGGTTCAAATTTTGCTATGGTCAATTTGTCAGGGTAGTGACTTTTGATAATATAGGCTTGGGGATATAATCCTAGCATCAAGCACTATTGGGGAAAATTGCAAAACGGTCCATGGGTTGACCCAAACCGTATTAGTAAAAATTATTTCTACTAGTTATATTTGGACTATTGTCCTCATCTCTGTTGTTGTTATCACAACATTTCAGTTGTTGTGCCCTCCAGTCTTCAACAGGTGTATGCTGATTCAGTTTACCTACAAGGAATCCTGAAATGAACAATTTATTTAATCTATGGGCGTAAACTGTTCTCATTTCATTGTCCGTAGGGATATCATGTCTAGTCTTATTTTTAGTACTACTCGGTTATTGCTCACCTATTTCCACGGAGTTCAAGTCCATTTTTCTGTCTGCCTACCTCTCTCTCTTTCTCTCTGTTTGTCCGCCTCTCTCTCTCTCTCTCTCTCTTTGTCTGTCTGCCTCTGTCTCTGTCTTCCTCTCTCTCTCTCTGTCTTCCTCTCTCTCTCTCTCTTTGTCTGCCTCTCTCTCTCTCTGTTTGTCTGCCTCTCTCTCTCTCTGTTTGTCTGCCTCTCTCTCTCTGTTTGTCTGCCTCTCTCTCTCTCTGTCTTCTCTACTCTGTCCCTCTTTCCCCACTCTCTCCTTCTCTTTGTCTATTTTTTTTACTTTATCTCTCTTTCTCTCTCTCTCTCTCTCTGTCAGTCTCTCTCTGTCTCAGATTTTGTGATTTGGAGAATTATTTTTATTCCCTGCTTTTTTAAATAATCATCAAAATCTGTATAATTTTAGAAAATTTTCTTTTTTGCTTACATTAAAATTGTACCATTTTTTTATTCTTTTTCTGTTGTTTCCAAAATGACTTCCATGACACTAAAATCTACAACAAATGACTTTATATTTACCTTTTACTTTGTCAAAACTGGATTTTAGACTAAAATAAAAAATACATTGCCATTGTATTTTTTTTCTGTCGCATTAAGATTTTGAACTGTTAAAGGGTCCTTATATTAAAGCATTTGGCAACAACCAGAAATATTGGCTTGTGATTCACACATTGGAAAATGAAAAATTACCTCACTTGACACAAACTTCCACAATTTGAAATCAAATCAAGTTTTATAAACTGCAGTGGTGAGAAAGAGAGAGAGGAGAAGAAACGTCTTTTACAAAAGAAAAAAAAAGGAAGGAAGTTTTTTGAAATTGCTACTGATTGAAAGAGTCCAGAGTCGGGTCAGCCCTAAGTCTATCCATCATCAATGTTCACATGTTAGGTGACATATTCAGTGAGGGACCTGACAAAAGTGAGGCCTTTGGTTTGTCTCACTGTTTACAGCTTGTTTCTCTTGTAAGACTTTTCTACCTCCTTTGTTTTCTCATCCATCTGTTTCTCCTCTTCAAAACTATTTGCCCTACCTCCCTTTTTATGCCATCTTTTTCTGTCTTTTTTTTTTTCTTCTTTTCCTTCATCTCTGCTCACCCATTCACTGTAGTAACAATGATTCATTTTAAAACAACCTATTTTTCCACATTGCTACAAAACTCAACAAACACATTTCACTCTGCCAGTCTTTTTCCCCTTACATTTTTTTCTTTCTATCTTTCTTTGTCTTTCTAATAAAAACTAAATTCTCGCTGACCTTTCCTATAAAATCACTCAAGGTCTCCTTCATTTTGATTTATCAGTATACTTTTATGTAAGTCAAAACCACGTTTTTAATCAGAAATTGGTGGGTGGGGGGCACAATTTAAGACATGGATAACAGTTTCACAAGGGTGTAATCTGTGCAAGAAGAACTTTAAAATAAGGTTTCATATACACCAATTACAAAAGAAGCCATTATAATACAATAAAAATATTTTATTGTAATTAATTTAAATAATTGAATGGGAATTTTAAATTTGTGCTTAAATTTGCAACCTTTCAGTACAGGTATCAGGCGGCTGGGGTTTATTAAAGTGGTTAGCTAATCCCTATTGTAGACACCTGCTCAGTTACATTTGTGTTTCCTCAACACCCACGGCCAACCTGTGATTTATATTGCAACTATGCAGGGCAGATCTTAGTTACTGTGGAGTGAGTAGCAATAGTCAAATGCAGAATAAGTAACGGACGTGTCCAACAAACAGAATTAACAAAGTTTGCAGTAAGCAAGAAAAAGAAAAAAGAACAGGTAAAAAAATAATATAAAGTAAGCAAACAATATATGTAAGGCAAATTAAAAGTAAAAAGACAAAACAACAGTAATATGGCAAAAAGTTGACAAACTAAGAATTGAAGTTGATACACAAAAGCAAGTTCAGACAAGGCTAAAATAGCATTCTGACTTCAAGACAAGACAAATTGGGACTGAGTCAGAGGAAACTGAGAACTGGTCTATTTTATTGGCTAGGAAAAAAATCCCAGCATGCATTTATGTGTGTCTGCCTATAAAAAGGGGAGGGGAAAATTTTTTTGCAGCCATTCTGTTTGGGATTGAAACAAACAGTTGCAGTTTTTAAGAGAGAATGCATCATCAATAGTTTGAACAAGGTCAATATGCTCAAACCTTCTGTCAGAATGACTTATAACTTTGTGTTAGTACAACCATCAACATATTCCAGATAGTTGCATCTATCCAGTTTCAATCCCAATACCTGGATCAATCCATTTTTGATTTTCAGGAAGTTCCCAATGAAGCTGTAGGCTCTAATCCTGATATCAGGATGATATTCTTAAGAAGTCATGTCCCTGACTATGTTTCAGCATAAGGTTGTGTAATCATAAATAGTAAACATTTGCTATTGATGTTGATCAGTTTAGATGTAAAAAGATTTTAGAGAGAATTTCCTATAATATATTCCGCATGCCATAAAATCTGAGGTTTTCATTAGCTTAATTAACTTAAGAAACTTGGTTGACCCCTGCATGAAATCTAAATGAATAATTTCTTAGCAAGAAATCAAGGGTCAACCAATACACAAGGTAGACTTCTTTTTTTTAAACTGAATTTTCCATTCCTGGTGATATTAATGATAAAAAGATATAAATATTTATTGATGTTAAACTCTGAGTAAAACTAAAACCTATAGATCATAATAACACCTAAGTTAAGTAAGTCGTCTCATGTTGACTGCTGACCTGAGATGGAACAAATACATTGAGTCAATTGCTTCTTCCACCGCGAGGAAAGTTGGCTCTCTGTGCCGCGCCAGGAAATTTTTCTCCATGGAATCAATACTTCAAATATACAAATCAATCATTCACCCTTGCATGGAGTATTGCTGCCATATATGGTCTGGGGCACCTTCTGTTTACCTCAGAGTTCTTGAATAGATCCAGAGATGGATATGTAATATAATTGGCTCTGATCTGGCATCTCGTCTACAGTCACTCTCTCACATACGTGCCGTCACCTCTCTCTGTCTTTTCTACAAATACTTTCATGGTAATTTCTCCGATGAGCTGCTTTCACTGGTTCCCAGACTCCATGAATGCAAGCGCCCTACAAGGCTGGCATCCCGCTCCCACCCTTACACTGTAGAAACTTTTAAATATAGCTGTCTCTTCTACTCCAATAGCTTCATACCTCGCACATCTCGCCTGTAGAACACCCTTCCCAATTACTGTTTCCCTGAGAGCTATAATCTCCAACTATTCAAATGTAATGTCAATCAACATCTCCAGTTACCTTGATCTACCCACTATCCCTCTCCTCATCCTTTCTTCTATCACTCCTATCTGCTCTTGCTCCAAATCTTCTGCAACCCCCTGCATCCTAGTGGCTTCATGCCTTGCTCGGGGCGTAATGCTTAAAAAAAAAAAAAAAAATGTTGTGAATTTATTTTACTTGTGTGTATAAAAAAAAATGAAATGTGCAAGTTTCTACTCAGTTCTCAAACTTTCCATAAAGTTTGCTAGTTTAAAATCTGTTTTAGTTTAAAATAAAATTTTTCTTTTTAATTTCTTTTTAAACATTATTTATTCACCTGTTTAATATTATAAATTATTAATTTAATAATTATAATAAAAAAATATCAACACAAAATGACTGTATGGAATTTCCCCCAATGTTGCATTTGATTTCTTCACATAAAAAAATAGGAACCTCCACGAAAATACTAAAAAATCAACATACCATGATGAAAACATGCTACAAACATAATGAAAACATAGTTTTATCATAAAAATCTTTGTTATTATTAAGAGGAATGATTTTTTTAATATTTAATTAAATTTTTTACTCCTTTTTATGAATTTTGATCATCAGCAGTTGTGCTAACTTTTAGCATAGCAAATTTCAGCCTCTTTTTTGCAGTGGCAGACACATTAATTTGGAAATTCTTGCAAAAAATTAAATAATTGTTGGATTTTAATGAAATTTTCTGGACTTATTCACAAATGAATAAAATTATGTCAGAAATTTTGTTTTTAGAAAATCTTGGTAAAAAAATTTTTTTTTATGTATGTTACCCCCCCACTTAATTTTATAAAAATTCAAGAAATTTAGTTGTGTAACACTTAATATTTATATTAGTTAAAATTGGAGAATTTAAATCATCAATTTCTTTTTGGCAAACAAAAACCTCACTTACCAAAAATCTACTCTGAATTGTAAAATAAAAAATGCAATAAAACTGTTATTTAATTGAAAAAAATTTCAATTGCTTTTATAAGACAAATTAAGGACACTATTGTCTTGAGAAAAACTTCTTTTTTTTTTCAATGAATAATGAATTTTTAGAAGAATTGTTTTCATTTTTTTATAATTTTAATTAGAATAATTTTAAAAGTTTTAATTTTTTTGATGTGATATGTTACACACCACTTACTTAATTTTATGAAAACTTGAGAAATTCAACATGGTAATCTTTAGTAACTATATTAGTTAAAAGCAGAATTCTTGAAAAATTCAAATCACCAATTATTTTCTTTTTTTTAAATCAGACCCAATCTTTCCGAAAATCTGTTCGGAATTGAAAAACAACATTAAAAAAAAAACTGAGACATTATTTAATTAGAGAAGCTTTTAATTGCTTTTATAAATAATATATATTAAAAACTATATCTGAAGAAAAAAATATTTTCAATGAAAAATGAATTTTTACAAGATTTGTTTTCATTTTTTACAATTTTAAATTGAATAATTTATAAAGTTTTTAAATCTTTTAAAACTCATTTTCAATGAGATAACTCTTAGAAAATATCATTATTAAGTAAAACTATATTTACTAATTATATATTGTAAAGCTTACTACAATTTCATGATCTCGATTATTTTTGAAAGAATTTCAATTTGTTTTTGCATGTGTCAGATATGTTCAGAATTTCAAAGTATGGATGTTCAAATCTATAACATTATCATTTAATGCTTTATAACAATTGAATCTCATACCTTATAAAATGACCAAGTTGGATATCAGGGTTATTTAGTTTTCAAAATTCCTGATATTTTTAAAATTTATTGTAAAGTTTGTTAAAATTGCTTATATATCTTTAAAACACATCCAGGGATATGTTTTTACTGTGTTGCAGATTTACTCTTTTCTTTTAACAAAAATAAAATGCTTTTTGATTCATTTTAGAAATTATTAAATTTTTTAGTTGTGACAAATTTATTTTAGACAGTAAAACTTATTAGTGATTAAATTTGATTTTTCAAGATTGAAGACCTTTTATTATTTATTTATTAAGTTGCTGTGATAGTTTATATTTAATTC